TGAATATTTTCAAAATAAAAATTATTTTAATGGTATGCTGATGATAATTCTCTTTATTCTGAATCTAATATTTATAAATGTCTTTTCAGAACCTTTCTTTTGCACTTCTATCTTACCGGCTGATACGCTAGCAAACAAACATTTTCAAATCCGAGTTTAAAACCATGAAAATGTGTCTTGAAAGCATAAAAAGTACGCGTTTTTTTTCCTTTTTGTGCGTTTAAACGCATTTTCATCGAGAACACGATTGTAGAGACATATAAACGCATAAAAAGAAGGCGAAACGCAGTTGTCTTCCCGATTGTAGACCGTTATCACAATCATGATGACGATTTGCAACTGGGAAGAAAATATCTGTGTTTCATGGTCTTTGTATGTGTTTATACGCTTTCAATCGTGTTCTCGTTGAAAACACGTATAAACGCGCAAAAATGGGCAGAGACGTCTCCTTTTTATATTTTTAAGACATTTTTTCATACGTTTAAACGCGTTTTTGAAAATGTTTGTCTGCTTCGATATCCTTTCGTTTCGCGACGAAGACAGCCTTAAACGATATTAAAAGAGTGGTTTTGCTTTGAAGCCGATGATTACACTTACACAATGACAACAGGTTGTTGTGGTAGTATTCGATACCTTTATCAACTTCTCTATCAAAAATACGAAGAAAATCTCAAGACCCACACCCTAAAATTGATCTCAGCCCAGGAATGTCCAAATGACGTGAACTTTTCAGAATATGTTGAGGATGTTGTGGAATATCAATGCTAAAATTTTCAGCTCAATATCATGATGTTTACCGAAAATACTAGCCAAACAAGGATGAAAAATAGCAAATTTGGTTTCCCAAAATTCTCGGTCCAGGTCTATAACATGAATTTAAATTTTCTTTGTTTGGAAGAGCATGTCAGGGTGCAGAGGATGACAAAGTTCTTTTTTCGAACACTTATTTTTTAAGGAAAAAAAGGGATTGAAAATTCAATTACTCAAAAAACCCTCAAAAATGGGTGTCGGGTGATATGAATGTCTGGATATATAACTAAAAACAGCTTGATTAAAGAAAAAGTACATTTTCAGTCTCTGCGCCTTGAGACGCTCTTTCAAAGAAAACAAATTTAAATACATTGAATGAGTATTAACCGAGAAATTTGGGAAACGAGCTCGAGAAGCTATAAATGGAGAAAAAATGAAAAAGATTTAACGGTTTTTCTTTAAAAATAGTTTATTTTTCGAATACGGACCACCAAAATCTTCAAATTGTTTTCTGAAAAAAAGATGTATTGAAGAAAAAATTTTATCGTCAATAAAAGATCTAAACACGGGCTATCTTCTTCTACACTCATCTCAATTTTGATTATTCCATACATGTAATACTTGAAACTTGAATTCAACTATTCAACTATTCAAGTATTCAACTATTCTTGTATTCAACTATTCAAGTTCAACTATTCAACTAATCAAGGTTAACTATTCAAGCATTCAAGTATTCTACTATTCGCGAAAGCAGTTTCACCATGTACCACGCACACACACTATACACACACAATCGCTGCAGCTGAGGCTGCGGCGAAACGAGTTTCCCCACGTATGATTGACACGAACTACACGCGCACACAACCATCGCAGGTGACGGTGCCACGAAAGGACTTTCTCGACGTATGATTCACACAAACCACACGCACACACAAGTATCGCAGATATGGGTGCCACGAAAGGACTTTCCCGACGTATGATTGACACGAACTACACGCACACACAAGTATCACAGTTGAGGGTGCCACGAAAGGGCTTTCCCCACGTATGATTGACACGAACTACACGTATGCACAAGCATCGCAGGTGAGGGCGCCAGGAAAGGACTTTCCCGACGTATGATTGGCACAAACTAAACGTACACACAAGCATCGCAGGTGAGGGTGCCACGGAAGGACTTTCCCAACGTATGATTGACACGAACTACACGCACACACAAGCATCGCAGGTGAGGGTACGGCGAAAGGAGTTTCACCGAATTCGACTAACAGTGTGAGAAATGAGCAGATGGTAGAGTGATTCGTGAATGATTGTTAGTAGAATGCAATTGTGGAAAGTAATTTGTTGTCGTTGTTAATGATTTTTTCCTGAGTACGATGTATTTTACAGCAAAATCGGAACAGGTTAGAGGAAAATAGTAGATTCAAAGTGTTAAGGATATTTGCTACTGATAAAATTGCGCATTTCGTTTGAGATCGATGTGAGTATAGCACGAGCGCGAAACAAAATGAATGTGGAAGCCGACCAATGAAAATCCGTCCATACTTTACTACTTCAGATGCATTTTATACCAGGACGAATTTCCTTAGTAAGAGAATTTGAAAAAATGAGAAAAAGAGAAAACCCGTATACCCGTGCGAAACACTCATACACAGTCGAAAAACCAACTCAGACATCTGAATGATGGTCGATTGAAACACTTAAGTCGACCGATTTGCGGTGGATTTCCTTGAATAGTTGAATAGTTGAATACTTGAATAGTTGAAGTAATAGCTGAATAGTTGAATTCAACTTTCAAGTTTGACACTACTGGATCGTTCTGACGAAAATTCACTTTTGTTGGGTGGAGGAAGGGGAGGGAAGACCTTAAAGAAGATATATTAAAATCTAAACGATTAAAACTGTCGTCACCCGTGGATAACAATAATATTCTTCGAGAGAATTGTCAAGATTTTTCTGAAACTGACTTACTATCAACTGTTCCTCAAGTAAAGGAGAAAAAGATAAATTTTTTGAATTGCCATTTCATCAAGAATCCCAAAACATTCAGAAAATCCGAGAAAATCCCTAAATCCACAGCAATGTTCTCTTATAAATGAAATAATTTCGAGCTAAAATTTCCAGCATATGTACAGCTTTTGATCCTTAAAACATCCAAAAAGTTTCAATGCAAACGGATGTTTCCTTCTCAAGATAATCAACGTCCGATAAAAGTGGATTTTCTGGCCAAGATGTGAAATATGAGTATTTCTTGCGATCGCATTATCTCCAGAAGATAACATCCGTGGGCGCTGAAACTTCTAGAATATTTTAAGAACTACGAAGTCTACGTTTGAAAAAAAATTCAGCTCAAAATTTCTGTATTTACAACAGGATATTGGTGTTGGATTTTTGGATTATCAAAACCCAAAAAATCCCAAAAATTCGAAAAATCCGAAAAAATCCGAAAAATCCCAAATCCGCCGTTTCCCTCTTGTATCACCTATTATTGACCGATTGAAGCAGTTGGATCAATGGTTTTCATATCACTAATTAGGCAAGACGTATACTTATATAATATGAATAAAATCCATAGTCAATGAATGTATTATAATATGAAACAGCGTATCACAAAATAGGCTATTTTTGCTACTTTTTCACTTTTTTGCATAATCTCTACTCGGACGATTTGGCGAATCATCTCATGGATTCGCCAAACCATCATAGCTTGAAAGTACCACCTTTGTACTATGTACCCACACATAGGGTTGAAATTATAGTTTCTATTTACAGAAAAATCTGGATAGCACAAAATGACGAAAATGACGAAATAATGACCATATATCAGTCTATGGGATTTTGTTGGTCGAAAAAA